TATTATCGTAATGAGTTTTATTATTACTGTCTATTATCAAGGTAGTGGTGAGACGTCACATGATAAATAAAAATACGTTTTGTTATTATTATTATTATTATTATTATTATTATTATTATTATTATTATTATTATTATTATTATTATATATTTCCTTATTTATTTTTTACAATGTTCAAAAAATAATTTATGATCATTGTTAGTTTTTGCAGAGGAGAAGTCAAAAATAAATTTTAACCAAATTCAAGTTATAACTAATTTGAGATTGAAAAGGAAAGTTCAAAAAAAATTATAATTATATATAATTTTAAAATATTTTTTAAAAAAATACAAAGAAAAATTGGAATTACAAATTATAATTATCAAACAACTTAATTCTATTATGAAAAGATTTAAATGAAAAATTGATCAAATTTAAATTTATAATTATTAAATATTTTTAATTAGCCATCAATTTCAATTCAAGTTCTAGTTTGATTTGATCTTAAATAGTTTTTCAAATATAAATATATCTTAATATTGATACAATCAACATTAGACATATTTTAAGAAGGAAAAATTATATCGATAGTCCTCACATTTTGTCTCTTGTGTCAATTTGAACTCTGTAATTTCAATTAGTTTGATTTTGATCTTTAATTTTAGATTTTGTATTAATTTGGTCCAATTAATAATGACAGTTAAGGTTTTTGAAAGAAAATAGTTATTGAATTGGTTAAGATTAATTTACTAAGTTGAATAAGTTTATAATTTTGTCTATAAAAATATAACAGATGCTACTCATGTGTGTATTTTAAATATAAAAAAAAAACACTAGCAATTATAACAATTGGACTAAATTGAGACAAAATTATAAATTCAGGGTTAAAATCAAGTAAATTAAAATTGTAACGATAAAAATAACACAAAAATTAAAATATAGGGACTACCAATGTAATTTATCCTTTTAAGAATAAGTACATAATTTCTTAATTAATTTTAAAATTGCTAATAAATATACCAAACAAATATGTACATATTTCCTTTTTTGTTATAAATTTAAAAATATATATATTTACTAATTAAAAATTAAATAAATAGGCAGGTCTACTAATGGATTGGACATGAACAAGACGATTTTCCAAGGACTAGGCTTAAATCAAGAATTATTGGCAACAAAATCAATTCAAACTAAATTTTCTTAGCTACTTTTTAGTGTTTTAATCCAATATTAGAATCTCCAAATTAGCTCATATCAGCCATGAACTAATAAATTGTGATATAATTTAAATATATTTGGACTAGAATATGACCTACCATTTAGGGTGACTTTATCTTAGATTATTTTTTCATGCTATTCATTTGATTGTTTTAAACATAAATATATAGTTTTATTTATTTATTTTAAAACAAAGTTCAAATTTTTTAATAATTATGTATAAAATATGTCCATATTTCTTATTTTTATTATAAAAAATGCTTACAACTATCTATTTACTAATTTAATAAATAGATAAGTCAAATGATTCATATAAGTTCAAAATATACCAAGATAATTTTTAATAATTATGTGAAGGATAAGTTGGTGTAAATCTAATAACCAAACCAAACCAAACCAAGCCTTAAATCCCATCAAATAGGGTTGACTGCATGAATATTTCTTCTCCACGCGGCCTTATCAAAGTGTAACAACCCTCATACTGTTTATCGACTTATGACTGATTGATTACCGATAACCATCGATTACCGTTAAACTGAATTGATTATGACTGATAATTGTTACTAACTGTACTGTTATCAAGGGAGTAGGTCCCTGTACTGTGTGACTGTGAATTTTGTATAGACTGTACTGTTTGTGTATGTATGAATGCTTGAAAATCTTTTTGGCATACAGACTGTCACAGCTCATTGGACATTGTTTAATTACTGTATTGGCTTCCGCTAGGCCCTGTACTATGTCTTACTGTATTACTGTTAAGCAGGCCTTCGGTAATCTCGGATTACTGGCCGGTTACGGTGCTAAACCCATAGGGCCGGGTTTGGGTCGTGACACAAAGGCCACTTTGTCAGTCAAATTAAGTAGATCCATATCTCTATTTATAACGCTAACCAACATTAATCTAGGCCTACCCCGTCCTCTAACACTCCCATCTACTGTTATAGAATCACATCTCTTCATTATTGTCTTTTTTGGTGTAAATCCATATCTTCGTTGGTGTAAATCTAATGTTAAGCCAAAATTTAATATCACAAGTGAATCTTAATCCATTTTTATGTAAATCTTGTAAAATAAGACAAATTATAATTTTGATGCTAGACAAATTTTTAGACTTTTCAAAATATGAAAAAATTAATATATTGACAAATATAATTTACCACTATTATATGATAAATTAAATTTACGAAACTCATAAGACGAAATGTATTTATATTTTACCATAAATATATTTTTTGTGATTTATTTTTTAATTTTGACCAATTAAATTATGACATGTATTTGTTATTAAGAACTTAAAACACACAATTAATGACATAAGAATAAAAAAAAAAAAAACTCTTATATGTAACTGTGATAAAAATAAATAAAATTTAATTAATTCTAAAACTTTTTTGCTAAATATTGTAGATAAATTTTTAGATTATTATTTAATTTTAAAAATTAATTTTTAAGTATTTATTTATATCCATGCATAGCATGGGTAAGTATGCTAGTATATTGAGATGAGAAAGTGATTCTTAATTATTAATTAAAATCACATTTGTAAGCTAAATAGAAATTTGATTATTTCACTTTTCTATGATAATCTACATTTATTCAAGAATTCTAGCTTTTTAAGGATAAAAAAAACAATTAAACCCACAATATTTTAAATTTTAGTATTTTTTCATGTATGATCCCTAATAAACCAAACGCTTGGATAGTAATGACATTATTATTACCAATAACCTAATTTGTAATAATGAGATTTACATTTCTTTCAAAATTATTATCATTCAAATATATTCCTACTTAGACAGAAGGTTTAGACCAGAAATTAGATCGAGTGACGTAACAAAAAACAAACAAATCCTCGAACTGTCTCTCATCACCTTGTTTTCATTTTTTTCCTCTCTTCCTCTCAACCATGTAGGTGAGTTTGAAGTGAATCATCACTTCCTTGCCAAGGCCGGTCCTAGGTTAACGCTAGTGAGACTTGCACCTGGGGCTTCCAAATTTTGACCCAAAATAGGACTTCAAATTTTGAAAATCCTTTATACCATTAAGTTTTCAAAAAGACCCAAATATTATTAGAGGCCCTCCAAAACAAAAGGCTTACCAAAAAAAGGCCCAAACACAAACATGCTATAGGCTAACATTAAAAACAAATAAAAAAAGTTAGCCCAATTAAGAAAAATATATATTTTCAAATCAAGTGGGTGATTTGTAGCCTGCTTCACTTTTTTCTTTTTTTTATTATAATATTTCTTTACTACTCTCAAAGGCCCACTAAAAAAAGGCCCAAACACAAACATGTTATAGGTCAACATTAAAAGCAAATAAAAAAAGTTAGCCCAATTAACCAAAAAAAAAAAGAACTATTTTCAAATTGAAAAAGATTTTCTGAAACATGGCGAGTTTTTAGATGTTGATTGGAGAGATCTATTTTCAGAGTTGAAAGTCTTGAAAGAAATATTACCAAAAGAAACCAAAAGGCCAATTGAAGTGATAAATTATTTGAAGGTAATGAATCGTTGTTTTCCAAATGCATGGATTGCTTATAGAATTTTGTTCACCATACCAGTTACTGCTGTCTTGGGAGAAAGAAGCATTTCGAAGTTGAAGTTTATTAAATCTTATCTTCGGTCAACCATGTCTCAAGAAAGATTGAATGGATTAGCTTTGTTATTCATTGAAAATGATATAGCAGATAAATTAGATTATACAAGCTTAATTAGTAATTTTACAGCTAAAAATGTAAGAAGACTAATGTTTAAGTGATATTTTATCATAGTTGGCTCAATTTTTATTTGGTATTATAGCTTTACATTTTTCCCCCCCTTATTGTAAACTGGATTTTGTCATTTTGAATTCTTGTAATGATTTTTTTCCTATCATAATCCATATAAGTAAATTTTTGTATTGATAATCGCAAATACTATCTTGTGCATTTTTGTTATTTATTATATTATTCAAAATTTTTGTTTGATAAATATGTATAAAAGTCCTTGAAACTTCGCCTAGGGCCTTGTAGAATTCAGGGCCGGCCCTGCTCTCTGCGATGATTTGGGTTATGGTATTACATTTGTAAATATGTTAATAGGTATGTGATGTTTTATTAAATTTGCATTGACGAAAAATTGATGAGGTTAAGACTCGCAAAGGAGAGCAAATGAAGGCGACTATTGTTGTGAGGAGATTAGATTTATGGTGGAGGAAGAATGTGAGGAGATGAGGTGGAGAGAGTGCAGAGGCAGGCTTGTTTGAGGAAAGGTGGTTCTTCATGGAATTCCTTGAACGGCTTGATAGAATATATTCTTTCATTTTGATTATGAAAATGCTATTCATGGAATTTCTTGAATGGTATTCTTTTGTTATCTATTGTATGTATGGTGCATAATGATTAATTTATTTATTTTTATTGTCAAAACAAAATTGATGTACTAAGATTAAACTTGTAAAATTACTCGAGCTCAACTCGTTTTCGTTAGATAAATAAGTCAAATTTAAACGCATTTTAAAGTTATCTTCTTATAAATAAATAAACAAACCTGCTTTTGCTTATGCAGTGGGAATTTATTTTAGTAAAACTCTTATTTGATTGTTTTATGAATATATAGAAGGCTGATAAAACTGAGTTGTAGGCCCAATACATGTTAGGCCGATATGGGCTCTTGAAGCAAGAAATAATTATCAGCCCATGATATTAGAGATTTCTCAAATGTACTAGAAAGTTCGTTTCGTTGACCCAGCCCAAAATGAATAAAGTCTCGAAAATACTGGAATACTCCTCTTCTTGTTATAAATACCAAACACGTCCCTCGCATCCATTCGCAGTACAATCACGAGCAACTTTCTCGGTAACCAAACAGAGTTCTAATTTCTAAATCACGAGCAACTTTCTCGGTAACCAAACAGAGTTCTAATTTCTAAACTCCTAATTTTCTTTCTCTATTTCAATTCGATTCCATTTCAAATCCAGCATACAAAAATGTCGCTGATCCCAAGCTTCTTCAGCAACCAACGAGGCAGCAGCGTCTTCGATCCCTTCTCTCTTACCGTCTGGGACCCCTTGAGAGACTTTTCATATCCCGATTTATCTCGGAAAAATTCGGCAATCGCGAACGCTTGCATGGACTGGAAGGAAACTCCGGAAGCGCACGTGATGAAGGCGGATCTACCAGGGCTGATGAAAGAGGAAGTGAAGGTGGAGATCGAGGACGATAGGGTTTTGCAGATTAGCGGAGAGAGGAAGGTTGACAAGGAGGAGAAGAACGATACGTGGCACCGTGTGGAGCGCAGTAGCGGGAAGTTCCTGAGGCGGTTTAGGCTGCCGGAGAATGCGAAGATGGATGGGGTGAAGGCATCTATTACGGTTCCCAAGGACGAAGTGAAGAAGCCTGATGTTAAGGCCATTGAAATCTCTGGTTAAATTTTTCTTTTTTTGGGGGGTGTAATGTTTTGTTTGTTCTGTTTAATATGTGAATGTAGTGGTCATATATATGTTGGGTTGGTTTGCCTAAATCAAATCATAATATGTAATGGTGAAATAATATAAGATATATATATATATATATATTGAAAAATCATGTATCTATATAAAAATTGTAACTCCAAAGTGATTTTGGATTGGATTTTGTGGGTGATAACAACTCACCGGCCAAGGCCGATTGGTGGAGTTATGACAGTTTAATTGGCTGAACAATTTTATAGTTTAAATGTTAAAAAATTATTAAAAAAATTAATATCATATATTAAAAAGTTGAAAAATATATACATATAAATATTAAAAAATTATTTTAAAATATTAATTTTTTATTTTTTATTTTAATTAAAAAAATTATTAAAATAATATGTTTTCGAAAATATTTAGATATAAGAGTAAAAATAGTTCGCAGTTCGTGAGCAGTTTGAAGTTTACTTGTAATCTAAGGTGGGCTTGAGTCATTATTTTAAAACTTGGATTAGATCGTGGGCTCGTTTCATAGTTCGATTTATCGGACCGTTTAGAGCCTATTCAAGATTGTGTATAGTGTCTTTTTACTGGAAAGTAAAAAAATTTTGATAAAAAAATTGTAAAAAATATTTAGGCTTGCCTAAGTTCGAGGTAAGTTCGAGTTTAAGTCCATCAACTCGCTTAAGACCAGAATATCTTTTAGACTTGGGCTTAATTTTTTTTTGACTTGCAACCTAGTTTGGCTTGAATTTTAGCAAAAGTTTACGAAGCTTGATATAGGCTGAGCGAAACCAAATTTACACTACTATTCATATGCTTGAATAGGTAATCGAGAACTAGGGGCTAGGTCAATGATGCAGGGCACACTCAACGGCCAAGGTCAATTGATAAGAGTTAGGATAGTCCAATTAACTGAATAAAATAGTTAAGCCATGTTTAGCTTTATAAGATTATTAGTGAAAAGATTATTAGTGTGATACATTATTTTGAAAAGTGCACCTAAGTTCAAGGCGAGACAAGGCGCAGCTTTGCGCCTCATGCATAGCGAGTTGAGGCGACATAAAGGAGGCGTAGCTGAGGCGATGAGGCGTGTGTTTTTTTTTTTAGGCTCGAGGCATGCGCTTTTGGCGCTTTGCGTTTCTTCTGCTACTACAGCCCATCTGGTTTTGGTGTGAATACCTACATGGAATAAATTTTCATTTACAATACAAAATGATCAAAACTTGGGTTAAAAGAGCAAACCTGATCGCGATTGCGATCTCTAAGACGACGAAGGTTTGACTCCTGTTCCGATCTCTGAGATGACGATGGCAATTGAGACGACGAAGGTTTGACTCCTATTCTTATCTCCTCTGGTACGACTCTTCCTCTTCTCTCTCTAGTGGAAAAAAACCCTCATAGTCTTCTCTCTGGTTTCTGTCTCGCTTAATATCGGTCTCTCTCTCTCTCTCTCGCCTTCTCGTATCGCGACCTCTCTCTCTCTCTCCCTATTATATAATATATAATATACTTATAGCTAATATATAAAATATAATTCATATATATATATATAATATTATATAATACCTAGAATACCTATTATATAATATATAATATACTTATAGATAACATATAAAATATAATATATATTTATACATAGTAATAAAAAAAAATAAACACATGTATGTAAAATAAAATAAAATAAAAAATTAATTGAAACACATTATTTAAAAAATATAATAAATAAATAAAATAATATATATATTAAAAAAATTAATTGTTTTTTCTTCTTCTTCTCTTCTCTTCTTATTAAAAAAATTAATAATATACATATAAAATGTTTGTTTACGTTGAAAATAGTGCTATATTAATATTTTTCTTAACTTCTATAACTCGCTCCTAGTCTCACGTCTCAGCGCTTAGGCTCCAGGTGACCTTGGCGCCTCGATGCGCCTAGAGCTTTTTAAAACACTGGTGTGATAGAATTGAGTGAAAAGATCATTAGTGTGTAAGAATGGCAACGGGCCGGGGCGGTGCCGGGGATGCCACTCCCCGTCCTCGATCCCCGAAAGTAAAAACATCCTCGTCCCCGATTCTCTGCAGAGAAGCTATTACCTCCCCCACTCCCGTCCCCTAATGGGGATCAGGTTTCCCCGACCCCGAAAAATCCCCGACTTATCTGTTCACAACACACACACACATATACACTAACTATTCAGATCAACAACAATCATCAACAACATTGTTCATCAACAACAACAGATAACAGATCGGTGGCAACAACTTAGAGATATATATATAGATACATATATATATATATATATATAACAACTTAAAAAAAATTAAAACACCAACAACAGGTATATATATATATAGAGAGAGAGGGTTTCACGGTCACGGTCTTGGTCTTGCTCAGATCGGTGGCAACGGAGGCTTCACGGACGAGCCACGGTTCAGGATCTGTTCAAATTGGTGGTGGTGGATCTGGATGATTGCTGAATGAGTGAGTGAAGGAGAGAGATGAGAGAAACGGTGAGACTCAGAGAGAGAGATCTGAGTCAGTAAGTGAGGGATCTAGAGAGATGAGAGAAGTTAGTGAGGGAGAGAAAGAGATGAGAGACCGAGAAGACAGAGAGAGATCTGAGTCAGTGAATGAGGGATAGAGAGATGAGAGAAGTCAATGATATATATCCACTGCACTCCACTGCACTCCTAAAACATTAGATATAATATGATGTAGTAGATATGTCCAGTGCACTCCTAAACATATATATATATATATACGGGGGACTATTTAGGGATTTTGGGCGGGGCTGGGGCCAGGGCCAAGCAACCTATCACCGCCCCCGGCCCAAAAATTAACGGGGATTTAATTTTCAATACAATCCCCGGCCCTATGGGGATTATTTTCAGGAAAAACCCGTTCTAATCGGGATCGGGGGGTCGGGTCCCCGTCGGGTCGGGTTCAAATTGCCATCCCTATTAGTGTGGTGATATTAGAGATGTAGAATAAAGAGTGTTTATCTATATATCATCGGATTAGTAATATTATAGATAATATTAATATATAAAATTAATATTTTTTAAGTTTTAGTTATTTTTAATATTATAATTATTTTTTTATTTTAAAAAAATTATTTTTTGTTAAAATCATTTAAAATTTCATTAATTTCTTCACTTAATTTCTAATCTCAATCCTTTTATGACTTTGTTAGTCCTATTATATAAGAGATTATTAATTCAAAGAAATAGTTAATCTCTTCTATCACATCTCTAATTAAATACTCTTTAAATAAGTTTCATGACTTATTAATCTAATCATCTTTCTTAAAGAGCCGAATGAACATACTTTAGTTTAGATGTTCGGACAAGCAACCCGACCACTAGAGGCTCGGTTTGAACAAGACAGTTAGTTTAGATGTTTGGACAGGCAACCCAAGCATCAGAGGCTAGGTCAATGATACAGTACTAATCTTTCAACCGCCATTAAGCGAGAAGTGACTAACTTGGCAAAAACAAATTTAGTTGATTTTTTTTAATTAAATTTTCTTTAGTTAAAAAATTCATTTGGATTGTCTTTTATTTTTCTTTTTTAGCGTGGGATTATTAGTTGGTTTTTTATTTTTTGGGACTAAATCTTTCAATCGTCACAAATGATGGTTGGCGCATTGATGTTCTATTTGGTTAGGAGATTTAAAGTGAGATTTGAAAAAGAAAAATGAAAAGATAAGTGAAATCTTTTTTTTTTTTTTCTTTTTTAATTTTTTTTTTTCCAAATCCTCCAATCAAACATAATGTAAGGGATGAGTGACAAGAATCTCTCAAACCTAACAAAATATTAATAAAATGGCATTACACAAAAAATCAAGCAGAGCATGAAAGGTACACAAAAACATATACTTAATTCGATTAATAAAATGGTATTACATAAAGAATCAAGCAGAGTATGAAAGGTACCAAAAAAAAAAAAAAAACACATATACTTAATTCATTCTATTTGGTGTTTTAATTTTATTATTGACTTTAGACATTGGAAAATTTTCGATTGACCACTCCAGCCAAGGAAGCAATACGAACGATGAGGTCTTATGGCACCGATACACAAAGTGTGATACAAATGGTGGTTGGCGCATTGATATTCTATTTGGTTAGGAGATTTAAAGTGAGATTTGAAAAAGAAAAATGAAAAGGTAAGTGAAATCTTTTTTCTTTTTCTTTTTTAATTTTTTTTTTCCAAATTCTCCAATCAAACATAGTGTAAGGGATGAGTGACAAGAATCTCACAAACCTAACAAAATATTAATAAAATGATATTACACAAAAAATCAAGCAGAGCATGAAAGGTACACAAAAACATATACTTAATTCGATTAAGAAAATGGTATTACATAAAGAATCAAGCAGAGCATGAAAGGTACCAAAAAAAAAAAAAAAACACATATACTTAATTCATTCTATTTGGTGTTTTAATTTTATTATTGACTTTAGACATTGGAAAATTTTCGATTGACCACTCCAGCCAAGGAAGCAATACGAACGATGAGGTCTTATGGCACCGATACACAAAGTGTGATAATTTATTTTTCAAACAGATTTATAGACCTTGTTTATATGGGGTTTAGGCTAACACACAAAAACACAAACCAGATGGCATGTATCTGGTGGAAATTAAAAATTAATTAAGAGTTCCAAACCAATATATCTGAGTGTGACAAAACTCATCTACTGTTTTGCATATGTGATTGTAAAGCTGGACTGGATATACATGGTAGTCTGTAGAGAGTGAGTGCCTTGTCCATGGACATGCTCTGCCACTGCATCTGCATGTGACCCTGTATTATTGGTGACAGACAGATCAATAATGTACACACGGGAAATTCTATTGCATAGCAGATGATTTTCTTGCCTCACTTACCAATTCCTAAAACAGCATCTACACCTAATGGTTATTTATAATATGGTCCGTAGTTGTGATATTTGTGAGTTTGATTATCAAAAATGTCATAATTTAATTATAAGGAAGTCATAATTTAAAAAAAAAAAAAACCAAATATCACATAAGGTATAATTAATAAATTCTTAAATTATAACCAAAATAATGTCATATTCAATATCACAGTAGGTCAT